TTCTTTCTTCTTCTTACATCTAGTCTTATTTTTGTTCCACACTCCTAAAATGGGTGTAAAGTCTACTATTGTCCACTATGATGGTTTCATGAACCCATGTCCCATGGAGGGAGTTACCTTCAATACTAGGACTGCAAAATGTGTTCCCTTGAAGAGAAAAATTTCTCTACAAAGGTTAAAGAAGTTGATCCACAGGAAATTGGACAAAGAACCCCATGAAAATGTAACAACCATCCATTTTTGCTACCTAACTAGACTCGGAATTAGGAAAAAAAACTTCATTGCTGTTGAGTTGAAAGATGATGATGACGTAGAAGCCATGTTCGATGTTCATGACTTAAACTGTCTTTGTGGTATTGAAATTTTTATTACATTTGAAACTTCTTCTTCTTCATACCCCAATCCACACTCACCTGAAATCTCACCCTCACCTTACAAAGCTTTCCCAAACACTGACCCAGAAATACCCACACATAATGACTATATCCCTTTTACCTAACTTCTAACTGGGTCTTCCACCAACATCAACAAAGGATTACCCACACAAGAAAACGAAATTATTGGCCTCCCAATTGAAGTTGTTGATCCTTTTAGTGAGGACGAAGACGAAAATGAAATTCTCAGCCAATAACAAGATGATTCAGAGGACGAACAATCACATATCCCTACACATGCACCAAACTTCATGGAACCATACAATCCACCACAATATTTTCTTAACTTTGAAAGTCACATTCAACAACAGGACCCAGTATGGTCATGCGTTGGACAGAGAGTTTTTTGTTTATCCAACAAGAACTCTATTTCTTGGACAACGTTTCATAAATTGCACATTGTCAATCACTCCACATACAAGGTGAAAATTTCAAACCAAATTAAATATATTGTTGAATGTGTTGATAACCAATGCAATTGGAGATGTCGAGCAATATTGCGCACAAGAGAGTAATATTGGGAGATTATGAAGCTTGAAGGACACCATATATGTGTTTCACCATTAATCATCCAAGACCACAACAAGTTGGGATATAAAATGATTTTCCAAACAATTGGTTAAATAATTGATGTTGATTCGTCAACACCAATCTCCACAATCATAGCTCACATCCAATTAACAACGGGTTATACTATAACGTACAGGAAGGTCTGACTGGCCAAACAAAAGGCAGTGGAGACCATCTACGACAATTGGAAGGATTCGTATAAGAAGTTGTCTTGTTTCTTACAAGCCATGCAACAATTTGTTCCCAGATTCATCTACAAACTGCAGCCACAACCAGCTTACCAAGGTGAGGTCCTTCAACAAAATTCAAATATTTTTAAGCATATATTTTGGACGTTTAGGCCATGCATAGATGGATTTGTTCACTACAAGCCCATTGTTCAGCTGGACGGAACTTTTCTGTACGGAAAGTATAGAGGTACCTTGTTGGTTGCAGTAGCACAAGATGAGCGCAACAACATCTTCCCCATTGCATTTGCAATGGTCGAAAGTGAAACAAGTGATGCCTGATTTTTTTTCTTAAAAAACCTCCAAAGATATGTCACACCCCAGCAAGGATTATGTCTCATATTAGATCGACATGAATCCATTAGAAGTGCATACATGAGAAATGAAAGCGGATGGACAGAAAATAATTCAGTGCACATCTACTGCATTAAACACATTACACATAATTTTCTGAGATGTTTCAAAAACAACACACTAAGGAAATATGTTGTAAATATGGGTAATTCCTTTGCTTGAAATTTGTTACAATTTATTCATTATTTAATTTTTGTTAATAAATATTTATATTAACTATGTTTTTTTAATATTGTTGTAGCATATGGGATGACTGAACCACGATTCTACTATTATTACAACATCTTAAGGCAATGTGACATAAAATCAATTAATTGGTTGGATGAGATACCTAGAGAAAAATGGGCACTTGCATGGGACAATGGACGGCATTGGGGCCACATGGCGAACAACATAACAGAGTCTATCAACTCTATTTTGAAAAAACACAAGAAATCTACCCATTTTCTCCATGGTCAACTCAACATACACCCATTGCAACAAATTTTTCATTGAAAGAGGGAGGCAGATAGATGTCATGATCAATGCTGGTCATGTATACTCTGAAATTTTGGTTACAAATTTAGAGGAAGCACAAATAGAGGTGAACACACATAGGGTCATAACTTTTGACAGATCTACCACAAAATTTATAGTAGAAGAAACACAAAACATGTGTCAAGTTCGATCAGTAGGGAGGTTTGCAGTTCACCTTAATGAGTTGTGGTGTGACCGTGAGAAATTCCAGAAATTTCACATGCCTTGTTCACATGTTCTTGCTGCATGCAAGCATGCACACCATGACTTCAACAACTACATTCATCCAGTGTATACCTTACAACAAGTTTCAAAGGTATACGAAACACAATTTGGGTTGCTGCGAAATGAATAATATTGGCCAACATACACAAGACCTACTTTGTGTGCAAATCTATAAATGAAAAGAACTTCAAAGAGATGACCAAAATCAAGTTGTATAAGAACTGAGATGGATATTACAGAAAATTAAAGTAAGATGAAAAAATATTCATATTGTCATATTCCTGGTTATAGCAGAAAGACATGCCCCAATGTTGCACGTGCATCTACTTCGCATAATTAGATTGTGTTAGTTAAAAAATGTCATAATGTATGAAACTTAGAGTTTTTCAATTAATAAAATTTCTTCTTTACTTGATTAATTTAGAGTAATTATTTTTTATTTGTAGAAATAAAATTATAAAGTATTATATATAAACATATAAATAAATTACTTTAAATATACATTAAATAATTACAAATAAAAGTATATATCAAATTAAAATTAAAAAATATAACTATTTATAAATTATATATATTATATAAATTATAATTATAAAGTTAAAAAAATTATATTTAGAATTATAACCTTAAAAAAATTATAATTATAAAATTAATAAAAATATAACTATTTTTAATGTTAAATAAATTATATAAATTATATATATATATATATATATATATATATATATATATGGGTCCCGATTATAAATAGATGCAGGTCTCCTCACTCAAGCGATAGATTTCTCGCTTGAGCGAGAGTTGACCATGGACTAAAGGTTCAACGCAGTTAACCACATAATGTAACTTGGGTCACCACATATTTCAATCACTTCTCGCTCAAGCGAGAATTCCATCGCTTGAACAAAATAGAATTTGACAATATCCATTAGTTACAGGTCTCCTCGCTCAAGCGATGAATTTCTCGCTTGAGCAAGAGTTGACCACATACTAAAGGTCCAACGCTGTTAGCTGCATAATGTAACTTGGGTCACCAGATATTTCAATCCCTTCTCGTTCGAGCGAGAATTTCGTCGCTTGAGTGAAATAGAACTCGACAATACCCATTAGTTGTAGGTCTCCTCGCTCAAGCGATGAGTTTCTCATTTGAGCGATAGTTGATCTTACTCGAAATAATCGATCATAATCTAAAATAATCAATTATTTTTAAACGTGAACACTAAATGATGCTAGATGGGTAAATAATAGTGTAGAGATGCTATTTTGGAAAATATTTTTTAAAATGATATTATTTATGAAAAAAAATCGTATATTTATATATACAATATCAATATAATAATAAATTTAATTATGCAACTTTGAAAACAATAAATATATTGGAATGAATATTTTAAGTATTAATTAAAATAATTCATTATATTAACAAAAACTTATATACAAAATTATTTATTATTGAAATTTATTATTTTTGTAATAAGGTCGTTAAAGTAATTTTTAATTAGTTCTGATAAATATGATGTTTCTTATTTTCTTTACTTTTTTGTTTTTACTGAATTATTAATCAACTTCAATACCTTATTTCATTTCTTCAAATCAAACCCCTGCAGTTACAATCTAAATGTTTAACGTGTTTTTATATTATATATTAATTAAATGTGAATTACATAATTATAGACATAACTTTTGTGTTACGATTTCAATCCCATTGATAACCATTTCATCGATTAATTATATATAGCAAAATATTACTGAGAAGTGAAATAAAAAAATAGGATACAGTCATGAAACATATTGTCTGAAGTCTTTTGAGAATAACACCTATACTGATTACTGCATAATCAATAATTTTTTATAAAATATAATTTCTTTATCAATTCAACTGTTGAATTGTAATTATATGGTATATTGATTGTTTGTGTCAAATTTTGTAAAAATACGAAAAAAAAGTTGTGATAAAAAATTAATATTGTATATATTTTTTTTTAAAATGTGTTTTTTAAGACATAACGTGAGTAAATGAAACCTTCAACAAGACATAATGTTTCCACAAGTAACTATTCATCAACAAGCATATGATCCAAGTTTTTCATGTAAAATAGACATGCGTACCAAAATTGCAGTACAATAGTATTTACAATCACTATGATCCAAGTTTGTATAAACCAGATTAATATGTTATCCTCATTTCTTCTAAAACTTTCCCGTTTACATGTGTAAACTATCAACTATGGTAGTCCTAGAATATCTAATGAAGTTAAGCAAATTTTTGTGGTGGTCATAATCTATGTTGATGAACCAGTAGCTTCCTTTGGTATCAGAAACAGAAAAACAACTGGGATGAAATTGCACAAGGCATGAAGTATGATGCCCAAGAGAAGATTGTCAAATGATCCTGAATCAATGTTCAACACAGAAGCCAAACCAGCACCCACAAAAGACCCAAGTGTGCTTCCAAAGTTGTTTATTGACATGAAAAGTGCAAATAAAGTTCCTTCAATTCCTGGAGGACATAGTTGTCCAGATAAGATCAGAAAAGGCATAAACCTGCAGTTTTTTGTTTTTTTTTTTTTCAGAAAAAAATATGGTTAGGAATTGGAACCAAGGGTGTAACTCAAAATGGTTGATTACAGCAAAACATTTACACTTTCACAGTATTTTAACTACGGAACATCCTGTCGAGTTCTTTAGAATGCATAGAAAATGAAAATAAAATTCGTTATTTACGTTAATTTTTCATATAAATAGAAGTTTTGCTGATATGTCTTCTAAAATTCTAGTAAAATGCATCCATTTTGACATTACATAGGTGTTCACTTATAGGATACAAGTAAATCATATAAAAGAATAAAACTTCAACTTCAATCCTAAATTTTAAAATATTGAATTTTGTGGGTCTCTCTTGCTTATACGCTATTCAATTTTACCATTTCCACTCAATATGGAACTCCAACACACTTGAATTCCAACACATTTTTTGTTTTCCCCCATTTTGTCTATGCTTCTTCCCCTTCATTCTTCTTCTTTCCCCTTCCTTCTTTATTGTTATCTTTTTCATTCTGATCTTTTTTTATTCTTGATCCTCAATCATCTTTCTTCCATTTTCCTTTTTCTTCTCCTTTTCTTGGTGTGATGTAATAGTTGGTGGTAGTGATTATATTGATTAGGTCTAAGATTTTTGAATATTTTGCTTGAATGATGATAAAAATTGTAAATATTTTGTTTGAACAAAACATGGAAATGAAATTCTTTAAAGTGATGCAAGTGGGTGGGGGAGATGAAATTGAATACTAGTTCAGTAGCTGCAGGTTGCATGTATCAGTTCTGCCAAATAACATGTCAACAAAACTAATGGTGTTAGTTAAATTTATTCATCCAAAGGATTAATGTGGATAACAAATCTTATTTTTAAGAGACTAAAATTTCAACATCTTTAGGGACTAAATAGAAAATGCCATATACTTCTATGTACCCTAAAATGTATTCAACCTATTCTAATTAAACCTATCAAATCACATGTTTTTCAAGCTTATTATGTTTTTCTTGGACATAAGATAAAAAGAGAAGCCGTGACTAACTTGAATTGATTGATTCCATCAGCAAGAGCTGAGCCAAAAAGCACCATAATCTTGTCTGAGATGCCAAAGGCAATATTTTTCCTAGAAACTACGACAACCTGCAGAAGACTCAAGAAAGCCAATCCAATCTGGGCACACCTGTAATCAGGATGAAACCATATAAGTATATTAAATATATACAAATTATCCATTCACCAAAGAAAAACAATCCTTAGTTGCTTACATGAGGATTTTTCGTAGGGTCATATACTTTAGGTGACGATTATAGATGAAGGTTCCCAGCATAAGTCCCAACCAACCAACAACCCGTGCAGTCCCAAGGAAAGAAGCTTCCAACTTTAAAACCTCGGTTTCATAGTAGAAGATGACGGTTGAAAGATTAGGAATGGTAATGTGAGCAAGGAAAAACCAAGACATAGGTCTGCCCTCACCAACATATAACAAAGTTAGCAACCAATGACCAAGTTATGGCATATGCATTAAATGAACTAGCTTCACACGGTAAGGCCTTACTCACAAACACACACGTACAGAGGAATATAAATATCTAACATGTTTTGATTAGTGTGATGTTACAGGTTACCATGTGCAGATAACTTGGCTCATTAGATCTTGCAGAGTTATCAAGTTAACTGTTTTCTAGGTTCTCTACTATTCGTTGCTGTATATAATTCAGGGTACATTATATTAGAGATTTAGGATAAAAAATGATATCAAATGTTCAGTGTTTTCACCAAATCATTCCCCAACTAAGTCATTTACAGTTCTGATCCAATGCAGAAAATGATTTGATGGCAACATATCTTTGTTTGTTGTATCGATAGGAAAGTGTGCTAGAGAATATGTTTCTAGCACTCCTCTTCTTTCAAAAATTTAAAGGCCATCATGTGAAGAAAGATGGAGATAATAATCATTTCAATAGGCTGCGGTTTACATAACAAACTTCTGTGAACATGTTCAAAAACCAAAATATCATCTTTAAGGAAAAGGTAAGACGATTCAGGATGCAGGTTTGCTAAAACAATACGTATAAACACTCAGAGGAGATGTGATTTCAATAAAGAATCATTCATAATCTTATAAGTATACTATCAGAATTGAAACTATCGACGCCAGACAAAAAACTTTAAATATTACATTAGTTACCTCCAAATCATTGGCTGTCTAAATGCACGACACAAATCATAAATAGCTTCTTTTAAAGAATGGAACCACTTTAATGACAAGGAGTCCCCTTTCTTAGAATGCTTTGATTTGCTGCTATTCGCTGATCTCCTTTTTGCGTTCTTTTTGCTCTTCTTCCTTCTTCTTGTGCTATTATGAGACTTTTATTTAAAGGACTATCTTCATCTACAGAACTACCATTCATATGTGAATCCCTTACAATTGAATCCTCTGGTGAAACTATGCTATTTACTGAGTTCTCCTCCACAAAACAGCATGATAATAACTGTAGACATGGTAATGCACAAAATAGAAGAAAAATAGCATTTATCTGTAAATTGGATAATGCATATCCTCCTAACAAACTCCCACATATTCCTCCCAAAGCCATAGAAGACCAAGATATTGACTGAAGATCTCCCGCAAACAAGGCCCTGACCAACAAAGCATTCACTTAATCAGAGTGTAAGAAAAGCATTCAGAAATATTAAATGAACAAAGTATCATAATCCAAAGTCAAAACGAATGTTAGACACCAACATGATGTAGAATATCCACCATTAAGGTTCAGAAAGGGAATCAATCTAGGACAAACCTTATGTATGCGACTAATAACTGAAATAAGGCCAAGTTAAAGGTCATGGACAAAAGTTACAACATTAACTTTGTATTGGAAACGGCCTTCATGAATCCATTATATTGGAAGATTGGAAATTTGTATGTCCACAGAAAGTAAAAATTATATATAATTCAGTTTTAGTTAGAAGGATGAGATGTTAGGATCAAATCAAAACAAAAATTTCTTGTGCCAAAAAAATAAAAATATTTCCCAATGTCGTGTAACTTGAACAGGGTAGCAAACAATTAGAACGGAGTCTCAAAAAATCTGCAAACAAACGCTCTTTCACGATTCTTTTTCAAAATTTCACTGCTTTTCAGTGATCAATAAGTGACATGCACACCATTAGTATTTGATTTTATTCTCCTTCCTTGTTCTGAAGATTGAAAAACATTCTTGTTGTCCCATATTTTTGAATTACCAATACTAATATGTAGGAACACTACTCAATATGAGGTTTGTCTGCAAAAAATGAGAATCAGGAACTTGTGATACAAACATACCGGTCAAATCTTACTGCCTCAGCTATCATTGCGTCAACAACAACATCTGCCATGGCTGAGCCCAAGTTTTGTGCTGTCAACAATACCATCAAGTGCCATGTTGAATTCCTCAAGGTTGAATTTAAGCCTAAAATCAACCATGGCACCAGGGAAAGCACAGTGGCAATCACTAAGTAGGGAACCCGTTTTCTTCCTTTAATTGGAATGCAATCAGAAAGTATTCTGTGTATCAGTAGCCAAATCAGATTGCAAGGAGATATAGTATAAAGTTGATTTAGTAAACAAACAGGTACACATAAACAAAAACTACACAAATTAAGCTGCAGCTTTTAATAGTCAACGCAGTTCTTTAGATTGGAGAGTTAATATGAAAACAATAGTAAAATTTATATTCATGCAGATACTTTTCACGCTCAATCAAAAAGTTACTTATCCATACAAAAACCTCGTCTTCTTGTTTTAATGAAATGAAAAATAATTTGAAACAGCTACTGGTATATATAATTTAATTTGATCTCAGATTTTTTCATGAGCTTTCCCTTTTTCATCATATAAAATCAAAATTCTGTCGCATCTTCAAAATACTTGCATAAGAAAGCTGAAAACAGTTGAGAGAATCATAATATCATAAGGAACATAAGAACAGAAAAGCATCACAATAAAATTATTCAGTTTGGTATAATTGCAAATCTACCTTAACTATATAGAATATGTTAGTTTTGTACTGACTACTTTCAGTGCATGCACAAATCTCCTTCTTTGTGTTAAATGTTTCTACGTGCGAGTAATCAATTAAAAAACAATGATCCATACCCATATAATGGTTTAATGCTCCATGGAAAAAATGCGACTGAAAACACAAATTGGGAAGCTGAAGGTGACAACTTTAGATTATCTTTAAGCTGGTAGGAAATAGATGTCCATACAAAAGACCTAAAACCCTGCATTAATTAATTGAAAGGATAAAACAAAAATGAAGGCATTAATTACCCTTATACAATGCTATGTTATCATGTCACTCCAGCAATCTAATAGCACATGATAAACTTGTGAAATAAACATTACTCAGAAAATGTACAAAATAATAAAGAAAAAATTCAGATTCAGAGAACTTGTTTGCAAAGAAAAATTACAGAACAAATGAATTGACCAATAATACCCATTGTAACAAAACCAAGAAGAAACTATCAGACTTCAGATCTTAAAGAAAAGAGGAAAAAAAATAAAACCCACCATCAGTTCCACAAAATGATTCAAAATTTAAATGAAAAGAAACTAAAGGATGGAGAATTGAGACCTGGGTGAAGTAAATCAAACAAATCAGCCAAAGAAATGAGGCCCCAAATGCAGCATTCAACTGCTTCGTCCATTGGATCATTGTCGACACAAAACCTCACTCTTGGGAACTCTTTTGCGCGCGTTTTCTTTTATGTGTTATTAGTTCTCACTACGAAGATGCTGCTGATTCATTCTAGTGTTATGTTTCGGACTATGGAAAAAACAATTTCCGTTTTCCCTCCCAACGGTTTCCACAGAGCAGGGAGTTATTCACTTGTGACGGTTTTGTCCCTTCCTCGTTGAGTCACGAGTTTGCATCAATAGGGTTAGTTCCGTAATTTAGTTGTGTGTCTGACACGTCCATGAATCCAACCCAATTTTGCCACGTTTGCAACATGGACCCACTGGTATTGACTTTGACCGTTTGACTCTTTTTCTGAAAATGGCCTTTCATAGTCCAAATATTTGTATTGACTTTTGTAGTTAAGGGGCAAAATCTACTATTTCCCATTTTGTAACATAGCTTTTTAATTATTCTTTATTGTTGAAAATTTTTTATTAAGAATCATGAAATTGTTGTAACTGTCTTCTTTAGTTAACAAACATCACTTTTAATTTTACAACTTTTAACAAATTTTAAGTTAATAAAGAAATTAACCTTCAAATTCGTTTCAAGATACCAGTTAGAAATCATCATTTGCCTAACTGTAAGTTGGAATTAGTGATAATCTATTGGTACTTATTTTTCTCAAACAATTAGGAACACAAACAAGTTCAAATATTGTTCTCCACTTGTAACTCTTCCTATTTTTCCATATGTTATGATATTTCGAAAAGATCTAACACGGATCATAACATATCTGAATTAGGCATAGGTAGATTCTTCATTTTGGTAAAACTTAACTACATCTATTATTCATCTACTTTTACTACATCCCTTTATTCCTTGTAACATTTTCATTTCTAAATCACATGTTGGTTTTTTCACAAATGGAAGTATTCACCAGTTATTTCCCTCAAACTCTTCATAACAAGTTACTCAGGAGCCATCTTGTTGAGCTATGCTGGAGACTCAATCATGTCAATGGAACAGTCTAGCTGAACATGACTCCTAATTTCAAACACTTAAGAACTTGAATGCAGTTTGAACATCCTTATCCCCTCTGCCACTGCAATTAACCACAACCTTAGTTCCATTTGGAAGGATAGGGCAGAGTTTCTCTAAATATGCAAGAGCATGAGATGTCTCCAAAGCAGGAATAATGCCTTCCAGCTGTGATACTCTCTTAAAGGCTGCAGATTACAAAAAACCCCAACATGAGACAAAGAAACAAGATACAAGGATTAAAATAACTTCAACTTCTGATCTTGGAAAATATAAGATAAGATATACATATGCTAATAGTAATAGCTCTACTGCCTCTACTTGATAATAAATGGCATGTTGTTTACACAGCAATGTTCCATTTGGTAGAGAGAAAAAATAGAGTGGAAGAGAAAGAAAAGGAAGAAAAAGAGGTAAGAAATGAATGAAAAGAGGAGTTATTTAATAAAATGGCAAAATGAGGGAAACGATATCTGAAGAATTCGTAATGGCAAAAGGAAATGAAATAGTGAACCAGGAATTGTGATTCATAACAAGTTAACAATGGCTACCATTAACATATATTTCAATTAAGCTAACAATATGTGATCATGATAAAGGTGGAAAATAGTTACGCCATGTATAAGATAACTTGTTACAACTCTTTCTTAGACATCAATTCATTTCATTCTTCTATTTCTCGCTTCTGTCACATTTTATGTTTTAGTTACATCCTAATCTTATTTATTTGAATATTTATAGAGGGTGAAAAATGACACACAAAAAATAAACCAAACCATGACAAACTAAATTCAAGTGACTCATTTTTTTGCCAAAGATATCACTACACATCTTCTACCTTCCAGTGCTTCTTCATCAGTAACACTGTAGTATTCAGCACGCCCTACATCTTTCAAGAAACTATGCTCTGGTCCAACTCCAGGGTAGTCCAACCTGTACAATGAAAAAGGAAAACTGGAATGAACAAAAACTTGGATAAACAACAGAAAAAGTAAACAAATACTAACCAGATGAATTACCCTGCACTGATAGAGTGGGGTTCAATTATTTGCCCGTCGTCATCTTGCAAAAGATAGCTCATAGCTCCATGCAAAACCCCAATTTCTCCTTTTGTTAATGTAGCTGCATGCTTACCACTTTCTAGGCCCAACCCTGCAGCCTCCACACCAATCAGTCTAACATCTTCGTCATCAATAAATTCATGGAAAAGTCCCATGGCATTTGAACCACCACCAACACATGCTAACAGAACATCTGGCTTCCCTCCCCACTTTTCCAACGCTTGCTTTCTTGTTTCTTTACCAATCACTGCTTGAAACTCTCTTACCATCTTTGGATAGGGATGTGGCCCTGCAACAGAGCCCAAAATATAATGTGTTGTCTCCACATTGGTCACCCAATCCCGTATAGCTTCTGATGTAGCATCCTTCAGTGTAGCAGTCCCAGAATGAACTGCTCTGACCTACATCACAAAAGTATCAAAAGTGTATTTTCTTAAGCATTTGGAATTTTAAAATATCAGTAGTATATTTTCTTCAAAAATAGTTAACACATCAACCTAATTTCTAGTTTCCTATGTGTAATTCCTTCAGAGACAACTATACTCGACACTCTGTCAGACACTAGGAGGCACTCACTTGCCATTCGTTTCCTGATTTTTCGGTTTCAACCGTAAAACTGTCACCTTGTTTTCAATCGGTTTCTTGTTTCAAAGATTTGTGCATGAAACTGTTTCCTCTGTTTCTTATTCAAATCATAGGAAACATGAAACTGGTTAAAAAAATAGGTGACAGTTTTGTAATTAAAAAGTGGGAACAGAAGATGATAACAGAAAACAAAAGCAAGAGTGAAAACACCGTACATATTTCCCTTGGTTCCCCACGTTGTGGCGTACCACCTCCATCTACTAGACTCAACCAATATTGGTAATAAAACACCAACCGATAAGAAAAGGAAGTACTGGTACCGAAGTTGTGATCATTTTCTCATAAGAAAGAAGGATGATTAAGAGACACCCAAACATTTAATATACAACTAAATAAATTAATATAGTTATATTATTAGTATTTTATGAAAGAGTGGTGATATTTTGACAATCAAAAATTATATAATTCTTCATATAATTCATTTTTATTAATATAATAATTTATAAAATGATTGAATAAAAATAAAATAAATGATTGAATAAAAATAAAATAAAATTATTATTATAATATTAAAAGAGAGTTATTTATAGGAGTTATATTTTTTATTAATATAATAATCTATAAAATGATTGAATAAAAATAAAATAAAATAATTATTATAATATTAAAAGAGAGTTATTTATAAGAATTACATGGATTTAGGTTGTGAAATATCATTTTCCTTTATTAAAGTAGTTGCAGGCAAGTTGTGTTGTGAATATAAATTTTTCTTTCTCATAAACATTCCCATTCCCCACAAAAACATAGGTCATATATTGACAACTACTGTAACACAATCATCCACAAGTCAATTTATTATTATTATTATTATTATTATTATTATTATTATTATTATTATTATTATTATAAAAAGAATTAATCAAACTAAAGATAATTAAAAATTAATATTATATTATTAAATGGAATTGTTGGAAAAATGTTTTAGATAAGAGGGTGTTAAAATATATTTTTCCAACATAATATCCTAATAAACAACACAACTCTTTCTAGAAATAATCCAATAAACAACCTATAATTATAACAATGATAATAATAAAAATAAAAGATTGTTGAAAATAACCCAATGTAATAATAATAAAAAAAAAAAAAAATTGAAAGTGTAAATTGGGTGTCAAATCATGATTGTAAACAAAAACTAAGTACAAGCCTTTTAGCCAACGTACCTCAGCACCAAGAAGCCGCATTCTGAACACATTAAGAGCCTGTCTCTCCATGTCCCTCGCCCCCATATAGACCACACACTCCAACGCAAACCTCGCACACACAGTGGCAGTGGCCACCCCATGCTGCCCCGCACCAGTCTCAGCAATGACCCTTCTCTTCCCCAATCTCTTCGCCAGCAAAGCCTGACCAACTGCATTGTTGATCTTGTGCGCCCCCGTGTGGTTCAGATCCTCCCTCTTCAGATACACCTCGGGCCCTTGGCCGTCACGCGCATAGTGGCGCGTGAGCCTCTCCGCGAAGTAGAGCGGGCTTTCGCGACCTACGTAGTCCCGCAGAGTCTCCGCCAGCTCTTTCTGCGAAACACGGAAACTTTATCGTATCTGGGGATTGCGGATTCGGATAAAATGGAAGTGGATTTTGGGATTTGAAATGTAAGGCATAGAGAGAAGAGAAAAGAAGAGAACCTGGAAATGTTCGTCGGAAGCGAGGGAGTGAAAAGCAGATTCAAGTTCGGTGAGGGCGAACATGAGTATTTCAGGGACGTACTTGCCGCCGAACCGGCCGAACCGGCCGCGTGAGTCCGGTCGCTGAGAGTGGACCGAACCGGTGTCGCAGTTCGCCATTGGAGGAACTGAGATGGGAACGGGAATGAAGGAAAAGGAAGATATATGCTCGAAGGGGGAGCAAGTTGCACTACAATATTAAATTTAGAAGTAAAATAATTTAAATAATAATAAATTATATATTAAAAAATGATTTTATCTCAGATTTAAATAATATTAAAAATACATTTATATCAAATTTAAATTTAAATAAGAATATTTTAGATTTTCGGTATACTTAGCCAAGCTTGTAAGGAGTACGTCAATTCCAATATTTTATTAAAAATTTTAATTTTAATTTTAATTTTTATAAGATTCAATTAGTTATAAAATTTAACTAGATAATAGTTAATTTAAAAGTACCAAGTTTTTCTTAATTTTTTTTAATTATCTATAATGTTAATCTGATACGTTCAAGTTTTAATTCTTTTCAACCCTCTTTGTGATATATTTATGATTTAGTTATTGATAGATAACGTACAGAAACAAAGGAGTAATGTTTCCAAAAATCTCTTGAGAAAGGCATAGTTATTATTAATCCCTGAAAAAAGTTCAAGACATGACTAAAATATAAGAAAGAATAAAAGAAATTATATTTTTTTCTAAACATTTTCAAAAGAGAAAAATACGAAGAAGAATTAAATTTTTTCTATAAACTAAAATTATCTTATAATTTGTTTATATAAATTCTTTTAATTTATATTTAAATTAATTTTAATTTATGAGGAAAAAAAATCTTATGTTTTTCATAGAAGTATTTATAGAAAAACTCATACAAACATGCTCTAAGTAACATACATTAAAATAAATTGGATAATGTAATATTAATTAATGTTTTAATTTTGTAAAATTTATCAATATGTTTTGTTGTGTGTCTCTTGATTAACGTAATTACTTGTCTTATATTTTTCATACATCACTGAGCTGAATTTGACCTCTTCCAACAAATTTTCTTCATTCATAAAGTCAAGGAATTCAACCCTTGTCATCATGTTTACACAAACTAGCTATATCAACTTTGTGAAACATTGGCTGTGATGGATCCCAAACATTTCAAATTCACAAGTTAGATAAATAAATATGCATTTAAGCCATGAGTCTCATTGCACTGTTCAATGACAGTGCCATTTACTATTGTTTTGCTTTGTTCTCTATAATATTACCATTTACAATTACTCAAATGTCTCATGCTTACTTTGTCTAGGTTTTATAAAAACATATACGGTATAAAGAAAATATGCTCATACACTCATTAGTTTCAAACTAGTTCAACCAAAGCATGAGCACTCTCAGATTCAGTGCAAGACAATATATATCAAATGCAGTAAGTTGGAACACTGGTGGGTCGATACACAAAGGTCCTGACATTGTGTGAATATCCTGATGGGTGATTGTAACTGAATTTGACCCCCAAGCTGCCCTCACCAAGTTGAGTGCACTGCTCATGGAAACTACTGATTGGTCGAGCTAGACATGCGTCCCACCGATCACTCTCCGGCATTGTCTCAGCTACTGTGTATATCCCCTTGGCATCTGTGAAGGCCTGATAGTTTAGAACTTCTCCAGACTTGGTGATGCAAAGGACAGCAACCTCAGCACCTGCATTAGAACACTATGATCAATTATCTTTAGTTGGAAAAAAAAAGAAGAGAGATAGTAGTCTAAAAGTATGCTCCAGTAATGTTAAAATCTTTGGAAATTGCATTCTGATTTGTGAGTTACACCAAGATTTTGCAATGCACTAGCAAAAGAAATTCTGTGTGAATCAACAAGAAGAAGAAATACCAGTGAGTGACCGATATTGAAGTGGTATCATGATGAAAGAGTGAAAAAAGTACACTCATAACATAGTGAAATAGAACATGAAACCGGAAATTTCCAAATAGTGAGAGGAGGATGCTGGACTATACTTCAGCATCAAAGCAAATGCAAAGGATGGTAAGTTGACCAGTGGCATGTCCTTTGTTCAGATTTTGTATGATTGTTCAATTTCGAAATTAATCTACCATCCGAATAATGAAATGATATGAAAGTTGAAACTATGAATCATCAACAAAACGGTTAAATCTAAAAATGGGATAACTTAAAAACTAGATACAAAAGAATAAGAAAGAAGGATCATTAGGATATCGAAGAACCAACATTAAATGTTATAAGTTCGACATCAGTGGCATACAAAGGATCATTAGGATACAAATACAGAATTTCATATCAAACTTTTGAAAATTAGAACAATCAGTCAATTGAGGGGTAAACTTTTCAACAAACTCCCAATAGTTTATGCACATAGAGTAAATAACAAGGCAACAGAAAATATTTCACTCCGATTGAGAGAATGAGTTTAAGAGACACTTGTCTCCTACATAAACATAGAAAGACAGCTAGGTGTTTATTCCTACGAGTTTGGTCTCATTACTCTAAAGTACTCATAGAACAGTAATACAAATTCTTTCTTGCAAGGACTCTAGGAATTAGTAGAAAACCCTCCTTTTCTTATATCTCTCTCTTTACTAGAATCTTTTAAATAACATTTGAAACTGCTTTAATCCTCATCTGTGTCGCAAGGATGTGAACGAAAATGATAGGGAGTAAAATACGGTTATCATTGAAAATGTACGGCAAAATGTTCAATTCCTTCTTGAGCTTTACTTTGAGACACACTGATAGCTACCTCATAAAGGGAGGTGCTTTAACATAAATAATATTGACATATCATAGTACGGTTAAGTAGCTTTGAATTCACAAGAATTAGCATGATCATAAAACATATCCACAAGCATAAATCAACTAACACAACACAGACATCAGTTTTCTTAAAAAGATGAAAGGGTAAGAAATAAAAAATTAGAAATCTTCACAATGATTAGATATTACTAGCCATTGATAAAAATAAACTTATAAGGAGTGGCAATGCAAAGCGAGCAGGAGGAAGAGACTATCGTGCAACATATTTTTCAATTAGTCATACCATCATCCAAAAATCAATATACCGACTGGATCAGGAACGCAATTCCAGATATCAAATTCAACTTGGGATTGAAAAAAAGAAAAAATTTCACTCCCAACAGAAGTTAATCAGGTAATGCATTCTTATGAATATCTGCAAATCCGTTGATCAAACCAATCAGGGTCATCTCATTCTCCTTCTGTTGATTAGTAAAACAAATACAAACAAACAATTCAGCACATCCTTTGATTAAACCAATCAGGGTCATCTCATTCTCCTTCTGTTGATTAGTTCAAAAAAAAAAAAAAAAAAAAAAAAAACAAACAAGGAATTCAGCACAGGCCATCGATCATCATCATCACCATCTACAAATGTCAATAAACAAATTCTGAAAACATCTTCCTTGTTCCATCCCCTGTGCCACCAGGTCTAACTGGCTTATAATGACTAAACAATACAGTGCACAGTCTACGCAAGGTTTCAAATAGCACTATCGGATACCACAATGTTGGCTGTAACTACAAGGTTTTTGGGTTCTCCGCTACTGCAATTGTAGCCATATATGTCCGCAATTTCCTACAATATCAAATATCACAATAAAACTGCAATTGCTACCGAAATTTGAAATCTTGATATTCTGTTGCTATAGGATAAAATTGAAGGTTTTAAATTGACGGTAGCACTGCAATTGAAGAGCTAAACAGTTAAAATGCTAACTACTAACCACACCACGAACCAACACACAAGTCAAATTTTCAACACAATTAGACAAACTTGGATAATGATATGGCTTATTTACAACAGCAAAAAGAAAACACTTTCATCAAATAGGGAAAACACCATTTCATAAACTTGATCAAAACGACACAAATTTAAAACAAAACGCCAATTGAAAAGAGAGAAAGAAAGAAAGAGGAAAAACCTTCAATCACATGATCTTCAGGTCCAAGAGAAGAATCCCCACAAACATCACAAACAACTCTTCCATGGATTTCCCCAGTCCAAGCACTCACACCCCAAACAGAAAGCAAAAGAATCAAACCCATCACTGTCTTCTGCTTTTCCATGGTTGAACTTGAGAAAAACAACAAAAAATGGCACCTTTCTCAGAGCACTCTGTTTTTGGGTAGTTTTCGTTAAACTCTCACAGTGCATTGATATTTCCACCGACACAATTGGTGAAGGGAGATGATACATACATAATCACAAAAATACAAGCATCACAACTCAATTTATTATTATTATAATCATAAAAGAATTCAATTAAATTAAAAATAATTTAAAATTAATATTATATTATTAAATTGAAATAGAATGGTTGATTGTTATTTGTAAAAGGATGTTAAAATATCTTATTTCCTGGTGAAATGCTGAATGACCGAGTCCAACGCCCGAGTCAACTGAAGTAGGGACTGAAGTGTTATTATGTAAAATTTTCAGGGAGTAAATTGGAAAATGAAAAAAAATGCCCCATAAATACTAACCAAACCCTTGTTGTGTACTTGTGTTGTGCCGCATCCAAGAGAGTCACTTGGGGGGACTGGTAGGTTATCCATACTCCTTGTTTTGGTGCATTGGGAGTTTCGTGTGATGTCTGATTGTTTTACTGTTTGTGCAATGCACGCTTTGTATAAGACTTTTTTGTAATTGACGCTCATAATCAAGCTCAATGCCGCTCTTTCCAGTTCTGTTTTCCTATAATGTTTTCCTTTTTTAAGACGAGTATAATGTCTGCCACGGTGACTGATTAACTTTTAATTTAAAATATATCAAGTTTTTTTTTTTTTTTTTCTTTTTCCTTTCACCTCTATGGGTAAAGTTTGTTATTCTTTAATTTGATGTTTACCATATGATTATCGTAATGTTTTAAATTCTATCCACCACTATAGATTCATTATGGTCTTTTCTATTTCAGAAATTGCAGAATAATGCAGTTATAATTGTAGCTGTTTTGATCATAAAATTCTTAAATGTTGCTGTTACAGTTGCAGTTGTGGAAATTTCTTGAAGAATTCTCCGGAGGAGGATTTTTTGGTACTTCGGAGTTGCAGGTGAGAGTAGGATACAAAGTGGATGTTTCTTGCGATGTTCTAATCTGTTCTTTTATCTTGGCACTTTGGATTTGTTTTCATTGCTTTGAAATATATGGGCCGCATTAGTTGGATGACCATGATTGCCCTTTATTGTCATGAATGCAATTCCCTATGATGATTTATAATATTGAAAGTAGTGGACTGAATTCCCTTGAGGATAAATGAAATCTGAGGGATATTCTTTTTCACTTGAAGTATTGTGTGTTTGTGTAGCATCTTTATGAGTCCTAATGTTCAGCGTCTAGACAAATTTGCATTATTTTCTACTACTTCAATTGTCAATTTGTTAAGTGTTTTGTGTCATAAGCAATTGCTTTCATCTGTGTCAAGAACTGCTATAGCATGTATAAGTACAGCCCTTAAGATCGCCTTCCTTAATTCTTACCATGGAAGCGTTTTGAGTCATAGCTGTGCAAAATCAACTTACCAATTATGGAGGTTTCCCATCAGGGTTTTCCTTGTGGGTCCTCCTCTCCCCCACTTGATTCATATATTAATGAGGCATAGACCCTTTTCACCATTGGACCTGTTACTTTTATCCTATTATTGTTGATGTTATTGGAACTGACTTCTTGTCACAGTAACATTCAATAAATAGGATTTCAGCTTCTTTGGTTCTTGATTAATGTCTCAGCTAGCAAGTGGGAACACTTACATCAAATATTACTTTCATTTTTTGTTGGCTTGTACCTGATCACTGATTTGATTCTGTTTTAGTTGAATATACGAATGACATGTTTGATGAATCCATTAGATATGTGAAAGGGGAAATCCTTTCTAAACGAAAATTGAGTCATTGATATGTCTGACTTGTTAATCTGTTGTGTTGGGAAATACTATGAAATAATTTTAAAAAGATCACTAAATTAGTATATTTATCATATGCAGAAGGGCGTTGAAAAAGATTGCCCCCCTCCCTTTTCATGCCCTGTTTGCTGGCTCATATTTTGCGTTAATACCAACTCAGGTGCCAATGTTCACTCTTTTGGATTTTCGGTGGAGCTCATTGATCCCCTCATTCCCTCCAATTTCCACTGTTTTCACACTACACATACAGTAGGTACCATTTCAGAGAGAGTTAGTCATAGCAAATTAGACATGATTTTGTTAGGTACATATTCTTTCAGCACAGTTCCTTCAGCTCCACCAGCATACCCTTCTCTACCTCTAGGGCCCTTCTTTAATCTGCACAAGCCACTCCTATATTCCAAACCATCCAAATTCACCTCTCTAGTAATCAATGGCCACAGTAGGATGTAAGTTGCACTATTCTACTCTTACCCCTTCCATTGACATCCCTCTTCCTAACCCTGAAAAATCTAACCATTAAACTAAATTTGCAGCTGTGATCTCTTTGATTTGCACCAGGAGCAGGTCCCTTATGAAGTGGCATGGTCTTGGCAAAAGGAGATTGTCAAGGATAAGAGGGCACAAATTGAAAAGGAAGGAGATTGTAATGACACCCTTATTATTCTACAACACCCTCCTGTTTATACATTGGGCACTGCAAGTACCGAGGAGAACCTCAAGTTTGACATGATAAATGCTCCCTTTAATATTTATCGCACTGAGCGTGGTGGAGAGGTTACATACCACGGCCCTGGGCAGGTGCTTGCTCTAAATTACTTACTACAGTTTTGAAATTTCCTATTTTTATTTATTTTGAATTGAGGATAATAACACAACTGAATTTTGCGTTACAGCTAGTCATGTACCCAATTATCAACCTCCGAAGACACAAGATGGATCTTCATTGGTACCTTAGGAGTCTTGAAGAGGTTGTCATTCGAGTTCTATCTTCAACATTTTCAATTCAGGCTTCTACGGTGGAAGGTTTAACTGGTGTTTGGGTTGGTAAACCTCTAAAACCTATTGATATAATTATACAGCCTTGGGTTTATCTTGTTTTACTCAAATTATTTTCAAATACCATACAATATGATCTTTCTTTTTTAGATACAAACTCATTTCATTAACTTTCCCTCAGGGATTTGTTTAAGATGACAAGAATTTAGTTTCCAATATACAACAAGGCAAATTACATCAAGATTACAGATATTACAGTTTTAGTATTATTGATACTCTGCATATTTTGAAGGAGTTTGGATAAGGAAGAGAAAACAAGTAGTTTTACAGTAATAAGGAAGAGATTTGCAGCTGTGAAATAAGATTATAAAACACATTCGAATATGCTTGTGGGTTTCAAATCATTTGTCTTTTACAGGAAATGAGAAACTGGCAGCTGTTGGTATTAGAGTGTCTAGCTGGATAACCTATCATGGCTTGGCTCTTAATGTCACAACAGATTTGTCTCCTTTCAAATGGATCATACCATGCGGAATACGAGACCGTCAAGTAGGAAGCATTAAGGGGTTGGTGAGAGAAGGCAAGCTCTGTGTTGGTCATGGAGGAGTCGATTTGCGTCATGTGGATGATGCTAGGCTTATTCATATTACACATAAATCCTTGCTTGAAGAATTCTCACAAGTATTTCAGCTAGAATACTGTTGCAAAAATATTTCTTCAACCATTGTATGAAAGGAAATGAATCTCTTACCAAATAGAGACAACAAGGTTGAATTTGTTTGATAGTATAGTATAGCTATATCAATCCCTTTTCCGGATAAGGAAAGCAAATAGGATCTCATTTGCAATAGAACACACTTGTACTTATCTTCCAAGTTTTAGCAATTTCTTGGGACGAATAGCTAGTTGATAATAGATTACTGAGATTGTGTTTGTGGCTCATGTATCTTGATAATGGTTTTTGGTTTTATCTAATTTATTCCAAGCAAGTACAACTTTTAGGAAATTTATAGTTGTATTAGACACTTGTAAAAAATTTACATTTAACAAAGACTGAATGTATCAACGGTCATCAGATTCATTGAACCCAACGGAGAATTCACCAAAACAATTATCAAGATTCTCGTTCCTATTTTTCCAAGAGTTTAACATGATTGAACATGTATAGTTCATTTGATATTCATTAGCCTTCAACAATTCCTTTGATTCATTTCCTTTAAGTGGAATTTTCATCTCACAATAGAACCCTTAAATGAAGACCCTTTTCTTCTACAATTAATGTAGTTGATGGAATTTGATGAGAGGTAAACCCACACTTGCAAGGATCTATCAGTCCCGAATTTGATGGAAGAATTAACTTGTTGTAGGTTTGAATTAATTATATAATTATAGCAATTTATATTTATATGAAGAAAAAAATATTAAATATTATATATATATATATATATTAATATAAATATAATATATAAAAAATAATGTTAAAATTAATTTATTATAAATATAATATTTTTTTAAATTAATACGAAACAGGAATAATGGAAACTCAAAATCTAACAAGGTTAAAAAAAGTAGAAGACAAGGTTCAGAGAGGCAAAACCTCACCTTGTCCCGTCTACATCAATGTTGAGGAATTCTATTCTCACAAAAAGTCCAAAAATGCATTGAGTAGCTCTTGTTTGAGTCACCTTTGTTAATTTGATAGTTGCTTCAAAATTTCTGAAATGGAAGTTTATGGGTTCTATTCTATACCTTTTTTTCTTTATCTTCATGGAAACCAGAAAAAGAGGTCTTCATTCATGATGTCCCAGACCTATTTCCACCTCAAATACTCGTAAATTCGTACAGTTTTTCTTCCTCCTCTTTATTTTTTTCTTCTTCATTTAAGTACGAATCCTTTTCTCCTTTAAAGTTCTTCTCAAACACTTCTTTCAACATCTTAACTTTAGATGGAGTTCTCTTACAAGCATTTTTGTCACCGCTACTACCTCTTTGATGTATGTTTAGCCGTATAATTCCTTCTTTTGTAGTTTGTTCACAAAAGTCACACGTGACACTCTTCCTCTAATCCAAATCATTTCAAACAATTCCACCACCATGCAATGTAAGTGTTATCACTGGCAAAATGGATTTGCCGAAAACAACAAATGGTGTGGGGAAAATTGCACGAGCAACGAGTTGATGGTCACACAATAACAGAATTTGAATGTAGAATAAATTAATGTATATATAGCATATTAGGATGATCAAGACGTTAATATTTGAGTTTGTAATTTTGCTACACTCTATAACAGTATACAATTCTTCATGATTTAAGAAACACATTTTTTAATGTAAATTTTGCTGAAGATGATACCAAGTATAAAACTGGTCAAAGTATGATACGAGTTTCATTAGTTCATTGAAAATCTTATCTAATTTCTCAAAATTTTATTTTTAATTTATACTTACAATAATCTTAACTTCCTCATTTCATGATGTTCTTAGTGAAACAATCTGTAAGTGTTCATCATTACTCACAAACTCGATATGGAAAAATCCCATCTTATACAACCAGGTTCGGTTTGGACAGAGAGATATAAAATCAGTGTGCATTATAATTAGTAATGAGTACAATCAGAAACATTCTACCATGCAATGAGTACAGTTACTCAATATCATGCATTCTAACAGTACAATGAGTAGGTAGGTACATTTTAGAATCTGTATAAAATCCATGCATTACAATTGGCTAGATTAACAGGCACTCTCTCACTATCCAGAGGTATATATCTTTTTCATCTGCTGAATTCATACATGTCTTCAGACCAAAAGCCAGATTGATACTCAATTATGTCTATCTGCACTTGGCTATGTAATTCTGTGAAATAAGACCTTGACAATGCACCAATGCTCACTAAAACCTACAAAATTATCATGTATTTGTTTTTCAACAGTGACCAAATTTTTCTATCTTTAATTTTTTAATCACTGTCTGCAGATTTTTTATTCTCTGTTCAAGGTTCGTTACATTTACTCCAGATACACAATTATAGCTTTCACCTTGAGTACCAAATAAGCTTACTCTCTCACTAGACAGCCTTGATTCTTTGCTTCCATTTGCATCTTCAAAATCTTCCTTCAAAAGCAATGGTTCAACATAATCTTTTCCAACCAATTTTTCTAGTGGTGATATCCTTTCAGCATTTTCATAATCTGCAGCAGAGGCTGAAGAACTTTGGTTGGACAAATTCTTACATCTTGTTGGAACTTCAGCATCAATATTTTCATTATCTTTGAAACCATCTAGGGCAGAATTTTCAGAAGGAACAGTTTTCAAGCGTTTAAGAAGAAAACCAGAAGGTACATTAGCATCAATATTACCTTTCCTAGCATTTGAAGCATCATCACTGGAATTTCCAAAATACACAGTGCTACCATGTTTGGGAGGAAAACCAGGTGGAACATCAGCATCATTACCATTTTTATTTGGTGTTGATACATGAGGCTCATGAAGTGATGGCCTTGGACTTCTCTTTGCAAAATCATGATTTTTCAGAAGTACTGCTTGCTTCCACCACGTTGCATAACGTGTGGTAACATCTCCCTCAAAAAGTCTAGCAGGAAAATACAAATTACTATCAGATATGGGCCTGCAGTAATTTTTCCAAGCAAACTCTTTAGTCCCATAAAATCTAGACACACAACCTGGAACATCTTGATCCATTCCAAATTGCATGGCAACTCTATGTGGCAGATACTTTGTAGTAGACTTGATTCCAACAAGCACAGAAGCTCTCAAACATCTAACAGAAGAGACTAGTTCTTTATCCAAATCTGTCTCTAGTGGTATCAATGTTTCATTTTCTGGATAAAACACCTTGAATCTTCCAGCATATTGAACATAAGGGCGCCATCGAAAATGCTCCATTGACGAGTCTAGTGCCAATCTCACATTGTCAATTTTCAAGGTCTTAGCCTTGTGCCACTTAAACAACATAGGGTTTTCATGGGTGATCAACCTCGGCTGTGGTTGCAAATTCTTGAACCTCTCCCACACCCAAATTTGCACCAAGTAAAAGGGAGAGTGAAGAGTTACCTCCAATTCCAAGTTATCACCAAGTGCTAGTTTTCGTGTCAAACAAACTATTGTTTTCTTTAACAAAGACAAATCCTGATATATGCTGGCCAAAACTGTTGGTCCCAAAGCAATGGGGTTCCCTCTAGCAAGATGAATAGCAATAGGGAAAACAAGTTTATTCACGAAGCCATTGGGAGAAAAACCAACCATTGACAACCAAGTTGATAGAAATGCTTCATGCTCTATTTCACTTCCACTATTACTAAAAAGATCCATCCATGCTGATAAGGAAGCCTTACCTTTGTTCCTCTTCCAAGGTTCCTGTCTTGCAAGTATCAATTTCTTCTGCGCCTCTCTCATTTCCTGGCTTTGAAGTGCTGTGAAGATAGGATCACCAACAACAGGGTAACCCCCCAACACCATCACATCCTCCAAGGTGATTGTTGCCTCACCCCACGGAAACAAAAAGGTATTTGTCTCACGACACCACTTCTCAGCAACCCCAATACACAAGTTCTGATCTTTCACTAGGGAACACTTGGTGTTCATGATGGCTTCAAAGATGCCAACTTTCTTCCACACTGATTCATACCTGTCTCGAAGGGCATCCACCCATTCAACCCATTTCCGGTTTGTGTGGCGCCACCAGCTGAAATGGATCACCAAAGGCCACTCCTTTGGTTCAAAAACAGGTGGTACAGGCATAGTCATGGAAGTTGAAAGTACCTCAGAAACTGGTCCTTCCAGGGACTTTGCAAGGGGTTTCAGAAAATAGGCTGATCTCAAAGCTGGTTTACTGTCACCAATTGGAGAAACCATGAAATCTTCCCTCACCTCCATGATATTCAACAATGATTCATCCATGTTGAAAATTCAATGCAAAAACTATAGTGCTAAATTGTTCAATAAAATTTTACAAAAGGTGTAGAAAAGCTTATGAAATGGACCCAGATTACAAAAAATGGTGACTGCCAAGTCATTGCTTTGAACAAAGAAATTAGCTATTGGAATAGCTGTCTGCAACTTTAACTGCACATTCACGTAAAGTTTGTGAAGGGTGTCATATAGCAATAAACAATAAATTCTATATTTTAAAATATTTCATTGATATTTTTTCCATTTCAACAAAATTATTATAAAAAATATATTTTGTTCTTCTATATATTATCTACTATTACGATATCTATATATAATTTTTCTTTTAAAATCTAAGTAAAATCAAAAGACAAAATATTAAAATAAACTAAATTATAAACATTATTTATAATAAACTTTTTCTTCCTATCACATCTTTTGTACGTCTAATCTAATAACACTTTACCAAATAAAACTTTACGCATTATAAATGATTAAAAATTTTCATTACATGAATTTTTCTAAGTAATTTATATATAATTTGTGTAAATAAAATATTCAAAGTACAAATATAGTTTTTTTATAAGAATGTATATAATTAATTTAAAATTTAAAATATCCTATAAATGGATGATGTTTTATTAAATCTCTACTCATTTTTATAAGAAAAATTGAGAATAATATATTTTTAAAAATCTCTTAAAAATAAAATTACTCTCCTAATAAAAAAATAGAGCTTTTTTTTGTCCAAATAAAAAAATTATATAAAAAAAAACTAATTAAAGAGTTTGTTCTTTCAAGTAAGAAATGAAATTTGTTG